TTGAGAACGTGAGAGTGGCTGGTTTTTATACTTATTTCATTCTTTTTTTTTTTTTGCCTAGAGACAATTGAGTGTTTTCAGTTCCAAACACAGAGAAGAAGCAAGGGAAGGCTTGGCCAAGTGACTTGATCATTCTGAAGGGGACAGCCCCATTTGCGGGGTTTCAGAATCAGCTGTGTTTGGCATAACTGGGGGTGAAGGGATGGGCAATGCCAGGAAAGAGGTCTTCACTGAAGAATAAGCACAGATGGCGTTGTTCGTGTTTTACACTAACGAGACCCTGACCAGTCACGGAATGACAGATGACACAGTTTCTACCAACTCTAACCAGACAGAACCCAGGACAGCGGGTGGCCAGCCAGCTGAGGGGGGGCACCTGAGGCAAGGAGAAGTTCAGTGAGAAAGGTGTGGGTACCAGTTAGCAAAGATGGGCGCAGCTGCCGTGCAGCTGTTTGTTCAGCCACAAACACCGCAGAAAGACAAAAAATGACTTTTTGGTGAAATAGGAATGAGAAACTAAATAAAATTTTAGGAACAAAGATGGATTTTAGGTTGGCTACATTAAAATTATATACTCATGCTTCCAAACGCAATAAAACCAACTATCGTAGGTTTATCAGAAGAAAAGCTTCAGAAATGACAAAACCCCTCAGAATAACGGTCTTCAAGAACCAGGTGTTCAAGATGAGGGAGAAGAGGGGAAAGACACACGGTATTCAGAATTTTCTCCTCTAAGTCGTCAATCAGACTCTGGTATCTTGTCACCGCTAATGACATACAACAGAACAGCACCTCCATGTTTCTCCGGATGTCACTCTCCTGACGGCCTCTCCCTTGCCACAGGCAGAGATGCCCAAGTCTACCCATGCTCCTTGACCAAATCCTTGGGTTCTCAGTCCAGCTGTCCCTGCTTTCTGCCAGCCAACCCTAAGCATGACCTTTAAGAGCTCTCGCCCTTTGAAAGAGAAAACTGAGCTGTAGTATGATGTGTCCTTTAGACTTGCGTTTCCCCTGCCTCTGCTTCCCAAGAGCTAGGATTAAAGGCGTGCACCACCACCACCTGGCCTATTTTTGAAGATTTTTTAACTACCATTAGATGGGCTACAAGAACTACAGAATTTGAAAGTTCTGCCCCTCTTCTTCTCTTATATCTGGTCTTAAAACAAAAAAGACTGAGCTTTGTTTTCCTGTGGATCTGGTTTTTAAAAATTATACTCTTCCTCTTGACTACAAGACCATAACGAGGCCTTTACACTGGGCCACACTGTCTTGACAGAATTCATGTGGAATGCATAAGAGGGGACCACTGGTACCAAAAATACACGACCTATTTGGCTTTAATAACAATATGGTACTCGCTCACATCGTCTACCCGCTCTCTCGTTTGCTTCCGATGTTCCAGCTTTTTTAGTGTGTGTCTTCTCCCCCAATAAGAATGTTTTGGAATCTTGTTCAAATTTGCATTGCCAGTAGCTTTGTTTTTTCCACTCCCTGTCGGGGAGCGGGGGTTACCCACCTCCTCCCAGTCCTGCTTACAGCATTGTTGTCGCTGTGGAAGGCCACTCTGCCTTTCAGAGGCCTCAGCCTCCTTCTTACCCTTTCTATAGATAAAAACAAATTCCACTCTCTCTTTGTCCTCTCGAAAGGGAACAGGGCTTTCCTTCCCTTAATTAGCTTCCTTAGGAGAACACTAATTTATCTCCATCCTAATGGGAGCTTTCCTCCACGTAATCACAGCTTAAAATTCTCCAGACTCCGAGGAACTTAAAGTGTTTACAGAACATGGCTAGAAACACACAGGACTCTTCGTCTTTTATGACTTTCTTTACAGTTCACATTCTTCCTGCTCGCCAATCCTATCACTTCCATTGGCTCATTCCCATTTTATAAGCATATTCTGGACATCGGCATGTTTAGCGGGAGAAACGGCCTTGGTAGTTATTTACGCAGACTCCAGCTCTCACAATTTAACCTGAGGTGATATTTTGGTAACTTCTGATGGAAAACCCTAGTCTACTTGTCCCCCCGCCCGCCGCCCCGTGAGAGGTATTTCTCCCCCACACAAAATTTTCACTAACTTTATTTTATGAACTATACTTTCTCCCCTCTAGTAATGGTTCATTACTATTTACATACTAACCTAATATCTATCTTTCAGAAGCCCATATTTTGTTTGATTTTTAACTATTTTATTTTAGGTGTATATGTGTGTGCTTGAATGTATGTTTGTGCACCATATGTGTATAGGAGTCCTCGGAGGTCGAAAGAGGTATCAGATCCTCTGGAACTAGAGTTATAGACAGTTGTGAGCTGTCATCTGGGTTTTGGGAATTGACCCAGGTCATCTGAAAAAACAATTGCTCTTCACTGCTGAGCCATCTCTCTAGTCCCAGAAGGTCATATTGTAAAAAAAAAAAAAATGAAACTTGTCTTAAAAATGCCTTTCATTTGCAACTAGGAACAAGATGAGATGAGCTTTCCTCAGCTCTCGATCTATAAAGAGATCCACTCCCCACTTGTAGTTTTGCTAACTACATCACCTCTAGAGGGTGTGGTTAGAAGACATAAGTATAGACTCAAACATTAGAATACTGGGTTTCTAGTGGGTAGAACTGATTGAGAAGGATTAGGGAGGTGTGGCTTAGTTGGAGAAGGTGTGTCACTCACTGGGGACAGGCTTTGAGGTTTCAAAAGACTGGCCCCATTCCCAATATCTCTTTTTGCCTCCTGCTTGTGGATCAAGATCTGAGCCCTCAGCTACTGCTCCATGCATCTACCTCCATGTCCTTCCTCTACCACCATAAACTCTAACCCTCTGCAAGTGTGAGACCAACTAAACTTTTTATTTTATAAACTTCCTTGGTCCTGATGTTTTATCACAGCAATAGAGAAATAACAAATACAGAAGCTTTTGATGGTCCTAGGACCCCATCCTCCTAATAGTTACATCTTAGGTACTTACCTACCTTGCATGTAGGATTGGACTTACTGACTCATTTGGAATGAACAGAATGTAAAAAAAGCTATGGACAAGTGTGGGATGCCACTTCTGGGTCACCTAGGACTGTGGCCTCTGTCTTAGCTTCTGTCTTGGCACCCACTCTCTACTTGCCCTGGGGGAAGTCAGCAGACACCGTGAATTCTTTTCTGAAGAGGCCCATGTGTCATGGAATTGAGGGATACCTCTGGCCAACAGCCACAGGCTCTCTATTAACAGCCCATGAGAATATTAGCCTGCTAATATAACTTTGCTCATTGGAGCAAGCTAGAAGCCCAGCCTCTCTCAGTAGAGCCTCTGGCTGAAACTGTTGCCTCATGGACACCCTCATACCAGCTCTTCCAGACCTTCAACCACAGACCTTCAACCACAGACACCCAGCTAAACTACAGAAGCTTCCTGATCCACAGAAATAAGATGTTGAGGGGGGATGTCTCAATGGTGAGGGCGTACTTTTTGTACAACCGTGAGGGCTAAGCCTGAGGTTGTCCTGGAATCCACAAGCAGAATCACTCCTGGAAGAGTGGTTCTTCCTGGAAAAGGAACTTTTGTGCCACAGAGATCCAGACTTGAATCTTGGCTCCCTCACTGTGTGAGCCTGTGGAACCACCCAGGCTTGTGGGCTCCTCACTGGCAACGTACAAATAATGGTTACTTTATAGTGGGCGGCGCTCTCATGGAATAGTTTATCCAATCCCTAGTTCAGCCTTGTGATTCTTTATGATAGGTTCATTTCATGTCTATTTATTCATATTTATAAGGATGGCAGAAGCTTTCGGTTTTGGTTAGCAATTTAAAACTAGCAAGAAAATGGTGTTTATTGTTAACATCTCATATTATTGCTAGCACTTTCCATTCACGTCTTTATTAAGATGCCAACAAGGCCAACAAAACTCTTCCTTCTCGCTAGCATTCAAAACTGTCCATTTGCCTTTATATGCTATATCGTCATAAGTGGGATCAAATATTAAAATTAATTGCTACACTATTTCTAAACTGTTTAGTAGTTCATAAATAAGCAAGAGAGAAAAGTTCTCAATAACAACGAGTCTACTTCAGTTGTAAAACACTGCTGAAATAGCTCCACACACGTAAGACAGAAGATTCAAGCGAGGAAGCTGCAATGGAAGGGCGGGCTGGCAGAGCTGTAAGCCATGAAAGTCAAATTATCTCCACAGCGTCTGGATTTCCTTTTTGGCATAAGCAGCATGCGCTCGGAAAATTACTTGGACAAGATTTAATGTTAAAGCAAGTGAGATGTAATCTGTAAAGATTTCTAGGCTTGGAGCTTTTAGGGGATCATTTGCAAGACAGAACTGATTCACAGAAAGGGCTCAAGCCATAACGGGACAGCTGTGTCACATCCTGCCCCCACGGATCACAGAACCTGGCAGAAGAGGGAATGGAGTCTAAGAAGCAGGACTGAGGTTTCTCGCTAATGTGACAAGACCCTTGTACTTACGGACTCAGAGGACGAAGCTGCCTGAACAAGACTCCCATGGGATCAAGCCAGTCAGCACTCCAGTATGGAGGGGGGAGGAGCTAGTGAGCCTCCCACCCCTGGCTGAGAAGCAATGCTGACCACTGATGGCTACTAGGGGAAAGAGAGTCAGTTTTCTCTAGGGGTGTGGCTTCGGGTCGATGGGCTGTGTCCCAGTGATGGCTGCACACCCATGGGAAGAACTAACTGAACTGTTATTAAACAAACAAACAAACAAACAAACATCAAGTTGGGAAGAGGACATGGGGGGGTCAGTGAGGGGAAAGAAGGGGAGAATGGATGTGTATGACTACAACTAACAAATACGTTGTATGAATGCATAATTTTCTCAAAGAGCAAAGGATGCTTAAACATAAGAAAACTATCCCACGGAGGCTAAGGGATGCCATGGAGCCAGCGTGTGACTCTTTCCTTGGCGGCAAGCTGCCTGTCTCACTTGTGACTGTTGGTCTGCTTTCTAAAGGGCCGTGCCCTGGGCTGCGGGGGTCACCTGCTTCCTACCTCTTCCTGCGACTGGCTGAACTGCTGCAGCAGCTGCGTTTGGGCCAGCATTACTCTTTCCAGCTCCTCTGACTTCTGTTTCATTTCCTTCTTCAAGTCTTCTGAAACTGAGTCATCGCGGCTGGCTTCCTGCTTCAAGCGACACTCGAATTCTGCAACCAGGCACTTCAGGTCTTCGATCTCTTTCCTCTTGGACTCGGATTCCTCAGTATATCGTGCGTGGGATTCGTGGAGCTTTTCTTGGAGAGAGGCCACTTCGAGCCGCAGGTCTTTTGTAGCGCCTGCGATTAAGTCAGCTATCTGTAAGATAAATGGCACATTAGTTTACGGCAACTGCTTCCAGGGAACGGCAGAGCTCTTGCCTGTTGCTGCAAAGTTTCTTCTGATAAACCAGGGTGCTTTTCTACCTTTACGATAAAAAGCAAATCCTATGACATAGAGGCCTTCAGATATTTTTAAAGTCAACACAGATTTTTATTTATTTTTTTCTAAAATGGTATCCCATTGACTACTTGGGCACCCTTGGAAATACTTAAACCTCTGTGACTGTATCGAGCTGCCAAAGGTACTCAATTTTCCGCAAACAGATGGGAGAGGGCTTGGCTGGATGCGGGGGCCTCCAAGTGCCCGCCTGATGTTTGGAGACACAGTGAGAGAGGCACAGCTGTACTCTTCTGGGGTCAAAACAGCAAGTTTGCCTTTGACGTACTTTTTTCCCTATATATTGGTGAACCCCAAACACTAGCTCTGTCTTCTACAGTGGCACCCCACCCCTTCCCCACTTCTCGTGATCACAGATATTCCAGATTGTTCTATAGTGGGGTACCAGTAAATGTTTTCTAAAAATCCCCCTGGGTTAGATCTGTATCTAATTTCAGTGGTGAAATCCCTTTGCCGCTGCTGCTAATCTGTCACCAGTGGAGACTGAGCAGAAACGAGAGATGCTTAGCAGGCTCTGGAGAGCCAGGCCTGGCTACAGAGCACTGGTAAGACAACCAGAACGACTGAAGAAGTAAGTGTTAAACTTGAGTGACTTGAACTGAAGGAGAAGTAACCACTAAGCCAGTCATTACGGCGTTCCGGAGAACAGCAGGACAGGGCACCAATGTGCCGCTCCTCACACAAGAGCACTAGACAACCCAGGGAACCTTCTGCCCATAGCACGCAGTCTGCAGAAGGGAAGAGACTTCTCTTCCTCCTTGAAAAACAAAACAGTGAGCTTGGTGGCTCACTCCTAAATTTTAGCCAAGGCAAGAGAATCACTGGGACTCTGTGGCCAGCTGGGGCTTCATGGTAAGTGCCAGAACAGTGTGAGTTACTGTCTTAAAACACCAAAACCAACCAAACAGAACCCCCAAAACAACAGCAAGCAAACAACAGAAGAGCAGGCGTGCCAACCACGTCGTAAGTCCTCTACTTATGGTCCAGTAGGAAACCAGCCACGGGGACTCTGGCAATGCCACAGACGCGAGTTTCCAGAGCTCTGGGGACCACTGTTGAAGAACAGTATGCATGAAAAATTAGTTTCAAATGTCCAATTTACATAAGGAATAACTGCTGGAAGAAATCTCTCACCACCATGAGTCACTTCAGGAATTAATATTCTACTATTTTTCAATTAATTCAGAAGAAGGAAGGGGGTCACCGTTAGGTCTGAACAGTGGTCCCTCCCTCCGGGCAGAGATGACAAAGAACAGCAAGCTATCCTATGACAGGGGTTTTCAGAGCCACAAATAGGTCTGGATTTAAAAAATGGGGGGGGGGGGCGGTCAACATTTCAAAATCAGATTTCTCTGATAACATTTGAATTTAGACTTCTCTTAAGTAACGGTGCCATTTTGTTTGCATCCCTCTGCCCATGGGACCCCAAGCTACTCAGGACGACTGCAGGCATGAGGCGAAGGGAGGAAGGAGATGGCCACTCTGTGGAGCCCTTGATGCAGGAGCTACGCAGCAAGATGTGTGGACCTGGTTAGGATAGGCTACACCATCAGCGGAGAGGAGGCACCAAGCTCCCGGCACATGCATCAGCGGAGAGGAGGCACCAAGCTCCCGGCACATGCATCAGCGGAGAGGAGGCACCAAGCTCCCGGCACATGCATCAGCGGAGAGGAGGCACCAAGCTCCCAGCACATGCATCATGGTTTTAATAGGAATTTATTTTAAAAAAAAATCAGATTCAAAGATGAAATCCTCAAGAATTTCAAGCCAGAAGCATCAGCAGGGCATTCCGAGTGGGGCCAGGCACTACTGTGTCGTGTTCTCTCGTAGCTGGCCCTCCTGTCCTCTGTGAACCCCACAACGGCTTCACATCCGTCTTCACACAAACACAGAGCCTCTTAGGCTGTTGGTGCTTACTTAACATGAATTCTTTAAAAAAATTTTTTTTCTTCAATTTATTTATGTTTATGAGTGTTTGTCTTGCATGTATGTCTGTGTGCCATGTGCATACTAAGGCCAGAAGAGAGGGTTGGAGCCTTGGGAAGGGGAGTTACGGGAGGGTGTGAGCCGTCATGCAGGTGCTTGGATTTGGATGGGAGTCACCTGCAACCAATGCTCTTAACGCACAGCTTTCTCTCTAGCCCCTGACTTGGATTTAAAAAACAAATTCAAAATTATATTTTAGAGACATTTATCTATTTGTGTGTGTGCGTGCGCACATGTGTGTGCGTGCGTGTGTGCACGCATGCATGTACGCACGTATGTGGTGGTAAGAGGAGATCATGCTGGAGCTGGTTCCCCACTTCCACCATGTGGGTCCCAGGGATTGAATTCACTTTTTTTAGGCATGGTAACAAACGACCTGACCTGCTGAGTCATCTAGGACCTCTAGTATGGATTCTTAACGAGCTTTTTCAGTTTCACACCGACTTTTGATTCATTCTCTTGCCATCTGCCTCTCTCTCCCTCTTTTTCTCCCCTCCTTTTCTTCCCTCCCTTCACTTAAATCCTACAAAAGCAGGAACAACTTGCCCAACTTGGTGGTATACATCTGTAATCCCAACCCATAGGAGGCTGAGGCAGGAGGATGTCTCCTAATTAAGTAAAATCAACAACTAACAGACAAAGGGCACTTCAACAGACTCATTACTTTTATAGTATTTTTCCTCATCCAAAAATGAATTAATAAAATCAATAAATTTTTATTAATTAATAAATTAAATATCAATAAAATGTAATAGTTACTTAATAGTATAATTAATTAATATTAAAACATCTCTATTAATAAATGAAATTAAAGATACCTCTAGTTAAGAAGACTAAATCCTAGGAAGGACATTTTTAATTGTGTAAAATGCTTTATTATCTTTACTATTAGACCAGGAGTCAAGCTAGTCATTAGTTATGTGGTGTTGTCAGTAGAAAGCAAATGCATTCGGAGCTTGGTCGAGTGCTTTTGTAATTTGCCTCCAGTATCTTTTCTGAACCACTTGTCTGTGTGGGCAGAACGAAGATACAGTAACCATGATCGCACTATCAAGCTAGAGAAAGGAAGGCACGCCCGAGAACACGAGGCTGTGCCGGACTGCGGCACAGACAGCGGTGAACAGACCTTCTTCTGCAGGTCCTCTTGTTCTTGCTGATACTTCTGAATTACTTCCTGGTGCTTTTCTTTCTCAATGTCAAGTTCCAGTTTAGCTTCTTCCTTAAAGAGAAGAGCTTGCTCTTGGAACTCAATGAGATGCCGGGCTCTTTCTTTGGTGAGCTCAGCTTCAATCTGGAAAACAGTTTTCAATATTAAAACACACAAAGCCACTTTACCTTGAAATAAGCACGTTCGATACATTTTCAGACTGTAATTTTCAAACGAGCCAAACAGCAAGTTTGTAATTATAGTAGTCTAACGTTTCTAGTATTAAAAATGCTAGCATAGAAGTTAGCCCCTCAAAGTTGACCTTGGGCCAAATATTCTAGTAACGAAAACCTGGAAATTTAGTAGAGGCGACACTTTTTAGAACTACAAAAAGCGGAGTCACGTATACTTAGGATGACTAAGAGCTTAATCATTGACAACAAACCAAAGCAAAGCAAACACCCTCTACCCCCTTACTGAGGTTGGACTATGTTCAGCTGAAAAAGGAGCAAATGCTGGTGTCTCAGTGGAAGGTTGCAGGGGGTATGGCGTCACAGACTGTCATTTTAGTGTGACAGAGGCCAGAGGAATGCGGAGGAGACAGACACTCATGTCCCCATCCACATGTAGGCTCAGGCAGAATCGCAATGCAGGGAGGGACCTTAGAAACCCCTGGTTCAGTCTCTCATGCTTCTGTGGAAAAAACACATAAGGACTTTGGTTTGAGATGGAACTGAGGCTCGGTCCTGGCTCTGACACTTGCTAGCTGTGTGATCTTACTTTTGTGAGTATACCTCTCCTGGTGGAGCTATAACTAGTTCCCGTGGGAGCCTTTGTGGGGATTAAGTGAGGCAAAGCATCTGTGGAGCTTGCAGCACGGGCAAGAATTCAACAGGCGATGCGGATCACCTCCACGTGCCAGGGCTGCCGTCTACCATGGAACTGACCTCGAAGGATGTTCCGCGGTGCCTCACGCCTCACAAAACCATAACTCACTCCGTCCCTAGCAGGAGTTTCCATTTCAGACATCACTGAGCAAGCATTCAGCAGTTTTTTCCTGTAGGTGAGCCAGCGTCTTCCTCAATGTGGCTTTTAACTACTGGCTTTGGCTCTGTCTACTAGACAGAGCAAGAGGGGGAGACACCTGTGAGTAAAAGCTCCCCACTGCAGACTTCATCTCCTGAGATCAGAGATGAGATCCGAGCGGCAGACCAGCTCCGGGTATGCACTGTGTTGTTCTATGGGGTGTGGTGAATGCCTGGATCCCTGGGAAGAGATAGCCAAGCCTGACTGCTTCTGACTGTTTGATTCTGGACATTCAGAGAAGAGACGAGATCTGAATTAATTTCTCAAGGGATCCAGGACACAGAAAGTCTGTAAAGTGAATTAAGAGACTAGCCCCAGGGTCAGCAGGACTTACTGCCTGGAGGACAGGATTGCTCAATGGCGAAGTGTAGACAAAACAAGAGGAGATATTCCGGCTCTCTCAAAACACGAGATATTCCGGCTCTCTCAAAATACATTCCTACATTGTTTGGGGAAGGGTGACTGGTGGGTGACCTTGAAGGGACATCACAGGGCTGTTCGGAGGGGAAAGAACACTTCTCTGAAGATCAGACGCCTGTGACCACCTGCCTCTAGGTAGACAACTCACAGGTGCCCTGCACGTTCACGAGTCTGGACAACACCCCGAAGTCTCCCTTGTTTACCTTACGTCTGAACTCAGCACCAGCATAATCCCAGCTGTTCCCTTCTCTCCACAGCACATGAAAGATGCCTTTACCCCATTTTACTACACCTGTCTTTCCGCTATTCTACTTCTGACAAAGGCCCCTCTAGCCTTTCCGCAGTCCGTGTCGCATGGGACACAGTTCTTCAGGAAACATAGACTCGTTTATTCTCTTAGTGGCTTCTCAATGCATCAATTAAAAAAGAGCCAAGCCAGAACTTCTCACAAGCATGTTTTACTAGGCCGCTCCCGGCCTACAGGACATCTTCGTGGGGACTGCCGAGAACCCCTTCCTTTGGATGAAAACAGGTCACACCGGGTGTTTGCTTGGTAAGCACAGCACCGTCTGGATTCCAACCCGCTTTTCCCGTGGTCAGAACTATGCCGGGTGCAGACTGAACTCTGTCCACGGCACCTTTTGGCTTCCACCACCTTGGCTTCCACCACCTTCCCCATCTGGCTACTGTGCTTCAGCAAATCTGGAAGGGTAATTCAAGAACACACGAAGGATGAAACTCTGTCCAAAAGGTTCGGAAAGTTAAAGGCAGAACTTTGAGTGTTAATTGTTTAAAGTTGCCCAGACACTATACTTTTTTTAAGCAACTTGATTTTTTTCAACATTTTTCTTTTCTCTTTCTTTCTCCCCCTTCCCACTCTTCTCTCTTTGCACTAGGGCTGACTACATGTGAACCAGAAAGAGCTCTACCACTAAACCATAGCTTCAGGGCCTTAAACAGTTTTGGAGCACTCTGGGACAAAATGTCTACCAAGGCACTAAAGTACCAAGTGTAAAACTGGAAAGAACCTGTAATTATTTCAGGACAGACTATATCTTTTAAAATGTGGGTTGATTACTCAAAATTGGAGAATAATTAGGCACATAAAGTAGGCGGGACACGATAAACCATAAATTCGATGACAGTGGTCTTTGGAAGAACTTTCTACAAAAGTAATTTCCTCATTTTGTTTATAGAGAAGAGGTCACTTAGGAGCTAGACCAGTTGTCCCTTGATGGAGATGAAACAAAGAGCAAAAAGTTTAGGACGGAAAAGGGGATGCCTGGAGTGCGCACAAGTGAGAGCCTCTTCCCTTTGGACTATGGCAGGAAAAGGAGGAAGAAAAAGAATGGACCGAATGGGAAATGGGCAAGAGAAGCACTGCAGGCAGGCGGGAGAAGAGGGACTGGCCGTTACCAGACTGCTTTTCAGGTGGCAGGAGTTAAAGAAAGACAAGGAAAATGGAACAACACTTCAGGGACGCTGCGACAAGGTGTCCCCACGGCACAAAGCCACCGATTCCCTCGTGTTCTGCATTAGTCAGAATGAAACGACAAGTTCATGGCCACAGCGATTTACTTAACCGCATTCCTTACCATTGAGAAGAGGAATTCAGGCCACGTGTGTGGCTATGTTTTTATACGGGCTGTTAAGTGGCTTAGATGGCAAGGCGAGTTTCATGCAATATAAATTCTTCTTCTGATGATGTTCAAATACAGCACAGATTATTTTATTTGCAATAACTCAGTTATTTTAGAAATCGTGGGCAAAAAGATTTCTAAAAATAAGCAGGAGCATTACGCAAGTTCAAAAACGACACAAGGTAAAACCTATGTACGAAGCCTAGGGTTTAGGTTTTTTCCTGTTCATCTGTGTCCTCTTCTGGTCCAACCCACATCCTTGCTGGAGGCTCCTGCTGACTCCAGAGCACCCGAGAAACTGCTTCCGGCCTACCTTTAGTGTCTGCACTGAAGCACAGTCCTTGTATCTCACGCACTCTGTGGCTGATATGGAAGAACAAAGTACTGTCTTTTCGCTACTTTCACAGTGGAATTTCTGTGGCTGACTTTGTTATTCTTTGTTGTCCGTGGAGACAATTCCCATGTGATAACATCGCTGCCTGGTATTCAACAACGTCCAGCATCTTTCAAATCAATTTTAGATGCCAAACCAGGAGCCAGACCAGTCAATTCTGTTTGACAGTGCACAGACCACTTGTGAAAGTATATCTCCTGAAGAGCAAGTGCTGTGCTGTTTTCCAGATAGAAAGATGAAATACTGTTGAAAACCAGTATTCCCCATCATTTAGCCTGAGAAAGAGGCTGAGAGGAAAAGCACAGGGACCACAGGGGTGTGAGCTGCCATAATGAAACTCACTGTTTTGTACACTGATAAAAAATTGATAAAAGGAGAAAAGCAAATGAAGCAACTCCACGGAGGTTACGCAATACACCAAAGATCGGCACGGGCACAGAGGCAGGTGGGCACGCCACTGTTTGGGGACTCTGGTTCCGTGAGCTCTGTTCTTTCAGAAAACCTGTCTCCCCACACACCTACAGAGCACACTGGCTGAAGGCACAGATTCATGGTTTAGTTTTAAAATACTGCGATATTTCTGTTAATGACTTTGAATTTAATTCTACCTTGGCCAGAGAAAATACTTTACATGCCTCGAATCCTTTCACAGTTTGTAACACACACTATGGTCCATTTTGGTAAAAGGTTCACAGGCACATGAGAATGTATGTAGCAGTGGGCAGCAGAGAACGCCACAAATAATGCCATGCCAAGTTGGTTAATAGCTTTCTTCAGGGTAGCTTTTAAAGATAAATCAACATGCTATTTTCTATACTATTTATTCCTTCTGTTTTTTTCTTTTTTGGCTACTTTTCTATCTGTTATTAAGAGAAAGATACTAACTTCTAAACCGTGCAATTTTTCCTCCTTGCAGTTCCATCAGGTTTACTTTGTGTACTAATACATATTGTAGATATACTTTTCTGTCTGTATGATTTGGGTGTGCGATTGTGTACAGTGTATATGTGCAACCATGAGAACTCATGCAGAAGCAAGACAAAGACACTGTGTGCTGTGTCCTGCTTCACTGCCCTCCTGGATTTATTCCCTGGATGCAGCATCTCTCACTGAACTTGGAACCAGGCTTGCAGCCAGCAAACTTCAGCAAATGCCTATCTCTACATCCTACAGCACCGGTGAGAATCACGCCTACCTTTTTACCAGGGTACTGGAGACTTGAACTTTGTTTGAACACGTGGGATTATTATGACCTCTTATGGAAAGGACCCCTTTATCATTATGAAATGAATTTTATCCTGGCAACATCATTTACAGTGCTGGGGATCAAACCCACAGTCTTGTTCTTTCTAGGTACATGCTCTATTACTGTTGAGCTGTAATTCTAGGCTTCTGATTTTGTGTTTTTAAAATAATTTTTTTTAAATTTAAGCACAAAAAACCAAGATAGCTAAAACAATCCTGAATAATAACAGAACTTCAGGAGGTATCACCATCCCCAATTTTAAGTTGCACTACAGAGCTATAGTAAAAAAGAAAAAATAAACAGCATGGTATTAGCACAAAAACACACACGTCAATCAATGAAATAGAAGTAAAGACTC